GAGGAGGATCAAAGTCCCCACCTTGGGGGATGTGGTGGGAACCAGAGGCCACATGTAGAATTAGCAATTCATCAGTCCCCTGGAAATGTACAACATGTCCTGGCGCTGGTGGACACAGGAGCTGAGTGTTTTTTGGTTCATGGCAACCCTGAGCATTTTCTCAGGATCCCTGCTGTGATAGATGGCTATGGGGGTAAGGCAATTAGAGTGAAGAAAGCCCAAATCCCATTGAAAATAGGGTGTTTACCCCAAAGGAGTAAACTGTGTACATTTCTCCCAATCCTGAATATATTTTGGGAGTAGATATCCTGCAGGGCATGTGGTTACAGACCACTGCAGATGAGTTTAGACTGAGGGTACATGTGGTAAAAGCAGTTCTGAGGGGACATGCTAAGCACCCACCTGTAGCTCTGCCTATACCTAAGTGGGAGACAAATACTAAGCAGTATAAATTGCCTGGGGGGCACAAGGAAACTGGAGAAACTCTACAGGAATTGGAGAAGGTGGGCATCATAAAGCCCACTCATAGCCCTTTTAATTCCCCAGTGTGGCCAGTGTAAAAGCCAGATGGCTCCTGGCGTATGACCATAGACTACAGGAAATCAAATACAATCACACCCCCTTCTCATGCTGCTGTCCCCTCTGTAGGAGCCCTTATGGACATCCTCAGTCATGAGCTAGGGACATCTCATTATGTTGTGGACCTTGCTAATGCTTTCTTCTCTATTGACATAGCACAGGAAAGTTACGGACAGTTTGCCTTCATGTGGGAAGGCCAGCAGCAGACATTCACTGTCCTTCCACAGGGATACCTCCACAGTCCCACCATTTGTCATACACTTGCAGCCCAGGTCTTGGCCACATTGTCATCCCTGTTGTTGTGGCTACCACCCAGCATGGCAGCGCTCTTCAGACAGGCCCATGGCCTGGGCTGCTCTTGCTCTGCTGTGCTCAACCAGCACCCTACTTGAGAAGATTCCACTTCCCAGAGTATAATGCACGTTGCCTGACTCTTCCTCCCCATCACCTCTACACAAGCCTCTCCCTCAGCCTGGAAGCAGTTGCCATCTCAGAGTGCTCCCAGCAATGTGATGTGGTGCCGGTGTCTTGAGGGGCAGCATGTGGCACAGCAATGGGGGTCCAGGTTCTTGCCGTAACTTTGTTGCCTGTGTGCTGTGTGTCCCGTTTTCTCTTCTCCACAGGGCTTTTAATGGGTATGGGAAGAGACTGCATCAAGGCCTATTAGCCAAATCTCACACCATTTCACACCAGAAATTTAGTTTCTGCTTTTAAACTGGGAACACAAAGTGAGGACATAAGTCTGATGATGTCTGTGTAGATGGCCCTTTCACCAGGCAGGAAGGACATCCTGCCTTTTTGATTCATGATTTTTTGGTAGTGAAAGAAAATACCTCAGTGTGACCTGCAGCAAGACTTGATTCTGACCTGACTTGGCTAAGCAAGGATAAAAGCCCCATTTTACACCTTGCAGATAAGTTAATAAAAGACCTGAGGTTAAATCATCCTCTCAGGATCGCTAAGTCTGAATCCAGAGATGGCCAAGGAATGCTGAGACAATATCCTTATCATGTTTCCAGGAAAACTCAGGACCTTATGAGAAGTTCTGTATACTGAAGCATAGTATTACATTTGGAATAAGATCTGTATTAAACCTTTATGACTGAGTTTCAATAACATAAGAATACGATTTCTTTATTAAAAGTTTAACTGCTTTTACACTAGTGAAGGTTGGAAGAGGTATAAATAATAAAAACAAATAAAATGAATAGTTCATAAAGATTTTGTGCTTGGAATACAGTCAGGATCATACACTCAGTCAAGTCACATGCCCTCAGACCTAGTTGGACACCCACCCTTCCCTGCACCCTTTCAACAGCTGTCTTAGTTCCCAGAGGGGTGGGGATAGCGGCAGGAACTCTGGTATCTGGGGGCCATTAATCACGAGGAGTGTGCCTATGAAGTTAACGTTAGAAACATGTAGGACATCACTAACTAAAGTAAGGACAGCAATATAGACTTTACTCACATATGCTACTGAAATGCATCATGACCAATAAATTTGAAGTATCAAATTCAGATGGTTTGACAAACATTTTCAAGAGCCTCTAACATAAGCAAAACAAACTAATATTAGTAGTATGAGACTATATAGGAGTTAAAAATAGTAAGATCAAAACACAAAAAAATACCTCTTTCCACCAAATAGGGCCATCTCTCCCTACCAATGTATGATGTCCAGGACAATAGTAAAACCATAAATTCTTTTCCCCCAAGTTAATGAGTAATGTACATACCAAGAATTTGATGACATTAACAATTATGGGATCAGAGTTTCAACCACACTTTTTACAAAGAATTGAAGCCCCCAGCTCCAAACTTGATCTTAGGGGTGGCATTTCTCCTCATTAGCTCTCCTATGGCCCAGATGCTGGGATCTGGTGATGGCAGGTCTGCCGCAGGCTGCCTGAGGTGAGTGGCCTGGCCAGTCCTGGGGCTCCTCTGGTGAGTGTTGCAGAGAGTTCCGTGAGGACAGGGGCCCAGAGAACCAGCCGCAGGGGTACCACCAAGGCTGCACTCAGGAAGTTCCCTCTCCTGCCACCGGGGCCCAAGACCCGAGGAGGTGTGCAGTGGCCCTCAGGGTCCTTTCCCTGACCCTCTGCACCCCTGGCAGAGGCAGGCTGGGCAGGGGGCACAGCCTGTGCCTTGTATCTGAGACCTGGAAGCCCAACTCTCTTACCTGAGGTCCACCACTCGATTTTGCCCAGGAGCTCTAATGCTGTGATGTGAACAGGACTCTGGTTGACTCACCTGGAACAGTGGCCTTTAACATGGAGAATATGTACCCAAAGGGTCCTGGAAGGGGTTGATGATCATATGTTCCTAGATCCTATGACCTTAAGATTCCTGTATTTCCCTGATTTATACTCCTGTTAAAGTGTCATGCTAAAGAGGTTATATTTTAGTCCATATTGGGATTATCTGAATTCATATACAAGCTAGATTGCAATGATGGCAGTTAGATACTTTTGGACTAATGACTATCTTCTTCCATGGCCTGGATTTGCAAAGTATGCATTTGAAGGAGAGTTTCATGAAAGCTTGGCTAAGATAACATTAGTAAGGAGTGTGGACTGTTGAAAAAGCCCCCTCCTGCCATGCATTTAAACAGAAGCAGCTCTTTTCAGCTTTTCTTGATATTTATCCCTAGGACACATCAATAGCTAGAAAGAAATGAAACTTTAAATAGCAAAGCAGTTTAGGTTATTGTCGCTAATTCTTTTAAATGTAATTAGAACGTTTTCTTAGACTGCTGAAATTTTCCATCTGTACTGGATAAAAGTTCTATGAGATCTTTCCACTTGGCACTTATTATTCAATGAAGCACTTAAAACAATATTCATCAGATACTGTTTGGAATGTTTATTATATATATATATATATAGAATACAGAAAAATCTTCATCTTTATTTCATCTTAAAATGTTTAATATTTTCCACCTCCTGTTAATAAAAAGTAAATAAGATCCTATATAGACCAATTATCTCTGACTGCATCTACCTTTGTTTTCATTAAATGTAAAAGAAAACATTATAATTGATTCATCTCATGAAATGTGTTGTCAATAAAATTTGACTTTTATGCTTAACAATTATCAAATTGTAATATATTTACATCATTTTAAATAATAGTATATTAAAATAACTTAATAACTCAGTCTAGAAGAACTTTATAATGTTATGTAAGTTTTTGTAGTGATTTAACATGATATGTAGTAATATAGTATGATAGGACACCAATAAAAGGCTTACAGTCACAAAAATATCTTAGAGCAACAATTTTATTTTTAAATGTCCATATTTAAAATATACTGATTATCTTTACAGCATCCTTTGCAACTACTTAAATTCATAATGAAGTATTTTAAATGTCAATCTAAAAATGTGCAAGAAGTACATAGTTAAAACAATTTTTTTTCAGGGCATGTTGGCAAAAACATTGACTTAAATTCTGGAAGGAACATGTGGATGAGGTCCTTACTTAATCACTGCTATTAAATAAGGTAGTGAATTCTTTTCTCCCTAACTTTATTTTTTCTCACTAATCTTAGTTTTATACTGAGTACCGTGTACCTCTTGGAAAAATAGAAAGATTCTAGTTATGAGATTCCATCTTAAATCTCAACCATTTTAAAAGTCTAATAGAGAATGGAATCTTGGCTGCGCTGAATTTTAAGATATTCTGCTTTAAACCGGTAAAAAGAAGTAGTCATTTTATTTTGGCAGTCACCTTAATTCCCTACAAATTTAAGGTTTCAGAAAAAAATTACATTGTAGAACTCATTCACTTTTAGAAGGCAGAAGACAGAGGCATCTCTTTAGATTAATGTGTTAGGCCGTATCAGGCTCACTAGGGAGAGAGGTGGATATGTCAGATGACAGTGTACAATGCAAAGCCAGATGTTCATATGTTTTCAGAAAAAAAAAAATTTTCCAGTGTTAAGTTTTATGATGGCCTCAATTTTTAAAATGCTTCACTATTCTAAATTATATGTTTGTCCTTGGACTATTATTATTTGTGAGAATCACTGATTGTAATAACAACCATACAAACTAAGAATCAGCAGTGAGTATATTAACAAAATATAACAAAAACTCTTTAATGGCAAATGAAATCAATCACTTTCATTATTTTCTGAATTCAGAAGTTTAAAGAATGTGACCACCCTGTGGTATAATGAGATGAGCTCACTTTATACTGATGGGCACATGAACATAGTGCCTTATTGTGTAAAATGCAGTTTAACATTGAGAATCTGAATCAAATTCTCATTCAACTGCTGTTAGTTTCACCTTTAAAGTAAATTGACCAAGGTGTAATACTGCAAGTTATATTTAGGGATTAAGAACTACTTTCAGAGGGAATAGTGATATAATATTTCCTTCATAATCCTAGTAAATTATCTAACTGTTCTATGTTTCATAAGCCTCAAAAGACAACCAGCATAACTGAATTTTCTTTTGGGATGCACATTTCCAAATATATTCTGTTATGAGATTAAAATTCAAGATTATTCAACGATTCAATGATCAAAATGAAAGTATTTCTACTGGTTTAAAAAAAAATTCCAGTTCTTTGTGGATTCAGAATCTAGGGTGATGATAAAAGATTTTGTGACTATTGATCAAATATTGATTTCCTGTAAATCACTAGTTTTCCTGGAGAGTTACAAATTTATAATCAGTAGGCAAGAAACAGAATTTGAAGGAGCTGAAAGGGTCCAGGAGGTGGGGAGCAATGTCTGAGCACTGCTGGTTTCAGTTCGGTGTAAGGAACTGGGGTTAGCAAGGTTATTTCCGTTCAATACAGATGCAAGGCTTTTAGAGGCGGAATATGCCAGGGCCAGTGGAACCACTGTGACCGTTGATTCGCATACTTTAATGTACATGAGTCACTTGAGGATCTCATTAACATCAGATTTCATTCATTGATTTGCGTATAGGGTCTGATATTCTGCACTTCTAACAAGCTCTCAGGAGACACTGATCCTGCTGGACCATTTTGAGTAGCAAGAATTTAGAACACTGATCTGTTCTTTCAGTCTAGAAGTGAGAAGTGTGGCCAGGAGTCAGGGGGCCCAGGCTCTCTCATCAAGTTGACTGGTAAGCAACTATAAGAATAATAAATTATTTAACCTCAAAGGGACCTATTATCACCTGTAAAATTATAGGTGTGGACCAGGTCATGTGTCAGGTCCCTACAGAATGATAAAACTTAGGATTTTAAGATAACCCCTTATTTTTATTTTGGCTGCTATCCTCTATATTTTCCCTCAGAAATGGTTAGCAAAAATCAGAATGAACTTTTATTGTACTGTGTTACTCCCAAAAATCACCATGGAGTGTTTTGTGTTCTTTGAGCCAAGATGATAGCTACTTTTTTATGCCAATTTCCACACTTTCCCCATAATTCTTAGGACACTATTCAGATTTGTGTTTTCTTTTAATTTTAATGAGAATTCTTATGAATACAGAGTCTATGAGGTGAGTTATCTATTACCCAAATGAAAATGTAGTTCCTATTATTGCATATTTTTCAGAGAAGCTGTAATATTCTAAAATAGAGGGTGATCCTTTAATTGGAGCCAATCTCATATACTGCACCCCTGCTAAGTGGCATGGCTGGTAATGGTTTCGAAGTGCACTTAACTGGGAAAAAATTCTTTTCACTCTCTAAGCACAATTTGAGTCAACTTCTTCCTGCTTATTTCCATTATCAACACCTTTATTCAGAACTTCATTAACTCTTGTCTGAACTGCTGTACTAATCTACCAACTGGTGTCCCATCTCTAACCTCTCCACTCCACAATTATTCCAGTACAGCCCTGCCAGAGTAATGCTCACACATTTCAAAAAAGTACATGCATTCCACATCCAGTCAAAATCCTGCAACGGGCCCTTAGTCAACACCTTCATGTTGTGGGGTTGTGTGCCCACTATTTTCCTGCACTCACATCTATGACTCTGTTTATACATCACCTCTACTTGGTATATCTTCTTCTATAAAACTCTATTCATTCTTCAAGACATATAGTAAATGCCAACTCTTGCTAAAAGTGTTCCCTTATTCTTCCAGCAAGAAGTTGAACTCATGTAGCACCTTGCTTTTGATATTGTTCTCTACTCAACACCTACTGCCCTACACTATAATTTCTGCATATGCTTCAACTCTGCCCTCTATTATACAATTCTTGGGAATCTGTAGTATGTCTTTGTTGTCTTTGTAGCTCTCACAAATCTCCACATCTGTTGAAGGAATGAGTGAATATACAACATAGCTTCAGTATTATTCTATGGCTCAAAATGTCTAGAAACTGCAGAAGTTAAAAAGTTATTAATTGGTCTTATTTAGTGTTTATCTGAGCAAATTACTTAATCTCTGTGAGTATTCCCTTATGTATTTGGGGGAGAAGAGTGATGGGTGCCTAGTAAATTTGTTTACCCACATATGGATAGATGTAAAGCACTATGCTATATAAATGCTGGAGAAGAGGGAAATATTTTTATTTTCTGGATCATGGTAAATATTATCATATGGTAAGTGTGTTTCAGATTCAACCACTGTGCTAAGTAAATTTTATATGTGAATTCAGAATAATATAAAATATACAAATGATACAATATTTATACTTAAGATTCTAAAGATGCAACACAATTGCATTGGCTTCATGACTTGTACAGGGCTAATGTTTTCAAAAGGAAAAGTAGAATTTCTTCCTTAAGATACCATCTTAGCAATGCTCTCATTATTGTCTATCATGGTTTGGGGATTATTAAAGGTGTCCTGTGCAAAATACAGTGTACATTAATTATTTTCTTGAAACATGAAAGGAAAAAACTGAAAAAGTCCATAATCATTATAGGATTTGTGAGCTTTGGGCATATACCAAATTGATTTCCTCTGCTCCATAAGCTACAACATGGGAATTTTCAGCTGCAGATGCATTAATCCTTTTAGGACACTAGGTTGCTCTATCACTGCAGTACTGTAATAATCATAAGAATTTTAAAAGATGAAACTTGAGAAAACTTGTTCCATAAATAAATAGACTGTAATTAATCTGTAATATTACAAATACTTTTTAGACTAAGGGAACATGAAAAGATCTTAGTCTTACATAATTTTCAATATTAATGTCTCTTCCAGTCCATTCCATTGCCAGAAAAATATGTTTAAGTATTTCTGACTAACTATAAATATAATAATTTAATTCGATAAGACTTTTTAAAATTGCTTGAGAAATGTACGTTAACTATAGAAGAATTCTCCCATCTTTGTCCACCAATATTAGTTTAAGAGGAAGAGCAGATAGGGTTATAATTCTCTGAGGAATGTTTCTATGATATTCTTTTCTTTTGGCATCTATAAATCCTCTGTTGAGATCATAGAAAATGTGTGCTATAGAGAAATTACTCTCAGATTAGAATAATAGCAACACATGTGAAATATGGCACAAAAAACTCTCTGCTATTTGGCTATCATAGTGATGAGAGAATTTATAAAATTACTCATTGTAAAGCAAGAGTGAAACAAGTAGGCTTAATATCCATTATATGCACTTGAGAGCCTTATGTTGCCATAGTACTCACTGCTCTCATAAATTCCTGATACTGTTTCACACCAGGAGTTAGTTCATCAGTGAGAAAACACAGAAAGCTTGAATGTGTTCTTAACCTCCAGGGTATATATTCTAATGCGATTCTCTTTAAGTGTTCTTCCTTCAAAAGATACACACACAACTTAGACTGCACCACTGAAATGGTTTGAAATGAATGTAAATGTTGTCTCTCTGTTCACCCAGGGAATTACCTCTCTCATACACAAGTGGAAATAATACAGTCTTAGTGCAGGTCAGAATTCTGTTTTCAGAGTGATCATTTATAAAATTACTCATTGTAAAGCAAGAGTGAAACAACAGGCTGAGAAGCTAGGTTTTGCACTTGTAGTCTTTACATCATTTTAGGAAGGCTTATGTGTGACTTCCTTTACAAATTTAAATATGTTCATAATTTAGGAAAACTGTATGCCCATGGTTCTTGAAGAGTGACTTGAATTACAAGACTGTGGAAGAGCTAGTATAATCTCACAACAAAAACTGTCACCCAAAGTATTCTCTTATGCTTTTACTAAAGCCTTGGCCATTTCCTTTACACTATGAGGCCTTGTAATTTACACATGTGAAAGCCAGGTGGGAAGCGTTGAGGTCTAGTGCAGCTGTCTCCAGAGTGTGCCATGAGGACTGCTGGCAGTATACACATGTTTTTAAGGAAACACCAAGGAACACTTCATGTTTTTATTTAAAAGTTATTAGAGAAAATACAACTAGCAAATCAAACTCATTACTCTAATGTTATTCCTCCTTGGGTCAAGTCTCTTTTTTACATAAATTTAAGTTTAAAAAATGAGTTTAAATTTAAAGAAACTAGTAGGTAAATATAATGCAAGTGCTTCCGACAAAAGTCATGATGGAGGTCGGGAGGTCTCTGGTGAGTGGCAAGTGAGATGGAAAGCTGTGGTCAGGGGTCAGTGGTTCTGGCTCCAGCTCCATCACTGACTGGCTATCCCACCTTAGCCAAGTCGGATCTCTTTGGACATCCACTCCTTATTAGTGAAGAGACTGTTGGGGTGACTGCTAAGGTCCAGCCTAGCACCCCCGCTTTATGATGCTATGTTCTTTTGTCAGATGTCATTACAAGGAACTCTAGTCTCTGTAAAACCAAAGTCAGCATTCTAAGCCTTAACACGAGAGGTGCTCGCTTAAACTAGCCAGAGGAACCAACTGGCCTAATGTGGAATTATTTTTTTCGAATTTCAAATCAAAACACTGTATTGATAGATTAGACCAAACCTTTGAAAGATTGGAAATAAACTTGTTGCATGGTAACTTTACTTTTTTGTTCACATGGGAGGGATTCCAAATGCTTTGGATTCTCTCATCACTGTGATAGCCAAATAGCAGAGAGTTTTATGTGCCGTGTTTCACATGTGTTACTATTATGCTAATCTGAGAGTAAGAAACCTGGATGTCCATAAAGCAGTCAGATGAAGGGTTTAAATAAAGTTAGTCTTGGAAGAAAAATACACTTCTATTAGAAGTTGAAAAAGATAGATGAACACAAGCTTAATATAAAGGATTGTGTTTCAAGGAACAGGAGGAGCCAGAGCTTTAAGATAACTTAAAATCGATGGTCTGGTTTCTGGTTTTAACTTTTCACTCTGAAAATAGAAAACACCTTAACCAGATACCCATTTTTAAGGGTAATAAAATTTGAACTCCAAATTAGCCCTACGTGCCTCTATGAAACTGCCTTGTATCAGTTCTCTTCCAAATGGCTCAAGAATACAAGTTCAAATCAAAACCTGAGTACCATAAAGTATTCAATGTAGAAAATATCCACCAAGTAATAACTTCACAGCCAGGCTGTTTTCTGACGTGATCTCGATAGTTTGAGAAGTAAACCACATTTTTCTTGAATTGGAGTTGCTGTTCCTTTTTTTAGAAGGTCCCCTAGCTTCACAGGGGAAACTTTCTTCCTGGAGGTTACCTATCAATGCTGCTGCCTTAGCCTAAAAAGAAAAAAAATGATTGAGTTTGTGAGAAGAAAAGGAGAAGCTTTTAATGATGATGAACTCTGAGTATTTGAACTAAGCATTTTGGAAATGATTGAATTAAGGACTAATGTATTTCCAGTATGTATTTGGAATACTAAGTTTATCTATTTAACCTATTCAGCTCAACAAAGAAATTAACGCCAACAAAATGAATACAATCTGTTCTTTGTGGAAATATATCTGCTTGTGATGCTGCAGAAAGAAAAGGGGAAAAAAAGATGCTATGGGTGAAAATTTTACCTATGATCTCTAAAAGGGCATACTCCTGGAGCACATCTAAATACACAATCCATAAATCGAGAAGTTGGCCCTCTGGAATACCAACAACTTCATTATCTGTTGCAATTTCAAAGGCTTCTCAGAAAATGTGGAGCCACAATTTCCTAGCTTTTCCAATTATCATGTTACAAAATATCTCTAGACATGCATTCTTGATCTGTGATAATAATTTGATGCTTGTCATCCTCAGTTACAGGGAGTCTGGCCCTCTGAGAAAGGCCCAGCATCCCTGGTGGAGCTGCTCCTGACTGGATCGGTCACTGCTCACTCAGTCTCCGCCACAGAACAGCAGCCAGTCTTTGCCTAGTCTTGTTTACTGAAGATGTGTCACCCCTGGGAGAATGGGGCTGGGGGAGAGTTGGCAGTGCTGAGCTGCTGGCCCTCTTGGGCTGAGCTGAGCCTGGCGTCGCAGTGGGTTTTGACACTCCGTGCAGGCTGGGGATTTTGATTCTTTTCTCAGAGTTCAGTCTTGCGAGGCTTCTCCCTCCTTGGTTGCTGACTGCTGCTGCAGAGGAGGTCAGGCTGCCCTGGCTGAGGGAACATGGGGACAAAGGTAAACTTCCACCCAGCTTCCTGAGCTCCAGGAGCTGTTCTCTGGCTTGACTCAAAGCCTCCGTCAGTCCAAAGCGTTCTTCACACTCTCTACGCACTGTTTCCTGAAGAAAAGCATTCTGAAATGAGAAAACGGGGAAAAAAAGGATCCCTATCTTTTAATTGTATGCATATGGATAGTTATTGGCAATATAAATTGAGAACTGAACCAGAAATCAGGGGTCTATGTTCTCTATCTTTGTGGATATTCTACCACATGGGACAGACAAGGCAAAAATTCAGACGATTTCTGAAGCTGGAAAGAACTTAAAGAGAACATTTGATTCAACCCTTGCAGAAGAGAAACCAGGGGCCAGGGCCACTCAGATGGTAGTGGTGGGGGCTGGGGCTGGAACCCGGAACATCTAATGCCCACTTCAGTGGGGTTTCCACTCCTTTGGGCCTTGTGTCTCAGACAGTGTCCTGCACATGTGATGTCTAGCAGTGAATATCTGTACTATCATGTATGTTATTTTATATGAAGGTCAACTACAATACATATGACAGGTAGAATTGCTTGAATTATAAGACTGAAAGAATAAAATATATCAGCTATATTATTTAAACAACAAAATCAGTTACTCTATATGATGCTTTCTCAATAGAACTTAAAAATACCACTCATCTGCTTCTCAGTAAGAGATGTATCAACACAAAGAATATCTTCTGCTTTCAACTCCATTTGGCCATCATTTATCAAGTTACTAGGAGCTGCAGTGAATACTGTTTTTGCCCTCAAGAAGTTTGCAGCCTCATAAGTTTGAGCAGACTATTTTTTTATGCCCCTGATAAAAGTTGGAGCCAAGGGTGGAAGCTGTGGGACCTAAAAATGAGGACGAACTTTTTAATAGCCAGAGCTATCTGGAGGGTACTCTGAAGGGGTGAATCTCTCCCAAAGGGGATATGTTGGAGCCAATTTAAGCTTCAGATGTGTGACTGGACTAGAGAGCATCAAGGTCTCTTCAAATTCTGAGAGTACATTTCTAGTTGAAGAATGACCCTTCTTTTATCTATGGAATTCCTCAAAATGACTTTGGGCCTATGGTAAGAATTAGTTCTGGGATCTCTTGACATTCGCACCTACAAGATGTCAAAAGAGGTTGAAAAGTAAACAATTCACAATGGTGTCTGAATGAGTAAACATAATTAAAGTGATTGGGTTATTGGATTCTTCAACTCAGAATGAATTTCCATCAGATTAGCTTGCCTGTAAAAACTGCCAAGCATTTCCCAGTCTGACTCTCAGTGGAAAGTGTCCTCTGAGGGGTTTGCTGACTAATTTGCTGTCAGTGGAGCTAAATAACAAAGCATCAGGAAAAGGAGCATCTTCCTGTATCTGAGTTTCTTGTGATTATGGTCAGAATGCTATTCAACTCCAAATTTGGTCATCAAAACTGAAGACCATGGAGCAATTCCAGATTAACAGTTGCACAGTAATTTTCTATAACACCAGTGGCTTGTCTAGACCAAACAAAACTTCATCTTTTACATATATTATTAACATATACACACACAATGCATATAACCACATTTTTAAAAAAATAATGGGGGCTAATTACTTGTTTCCAGTTAATATATTTTGCAGGAAGAGGAGACCAAGGAGTGTGTTTGTGGTTTTATCATCAGATGCTCATTATCATGCCTGAACTACTTACTGAAAAAGCAGGGGAAGGAAGGCTAGAGAAGAAGATTAATAAATTGCCATGTTAGGTGTCATTTCATTTCCTGCTCCTGTATTTGGCAAAGAAAGATACTGAAACTCAGATTGGTTATGTAACCAGGTCTGAAGGGGCGGGGCCCTGCCTGCTTCCGGAGTCCTGCTCCAAGCTGCCTGTGCCTACATTAATTGTCAGATAAATTACATCAAGCATGCTGGGGCCATTTTGTTGCAGGAGCAATAAAAAAACAGTAAGACACTTCATCTGGTTTTGCCAAGTTTTCTAAACTTATTCTAAACTTTTTTTAAAAGGAAAAAAAGTCCACAATGCATTGTTTTGTATTTACTAGCCAGTAAACTGTCAAAACATGTTGAAGTGATTCATTTAGGACGCTTTCAATAAATTAGTACAAAAATTCCCTTAAGAAAGCTATGAAAAATAGTTAATTTTATTTGACTATAGTAAAGGAAAAAATGGATACCAGTTAACAACAAGATCAATAAATTGGTGACATGAATAATAAGTATATCAATATGGAAGGATGAGGTGAGGGGTGACATGATAACAAGAACTCTCATTAAAAAAAAATAAAATTCAATCCATTTACTAAAATTAGATTCAGGTCTCAAAGGAAAGGGGTAGCACTCTACAGAAAACATCCGTAAGCCAAGTCACATAAAAGCTATTTCAGGTCAGGACTCTCCACGAAGGAGGAAATGAAAAAGTGGAGCAAACCCAAGATGTCCCCAAAGCAAGTATAACAGGAGCAAGGGCCGCACCAGCTCAGACTGAACTTGGAAGGGCGGATGGCCATCTTAGTCTGGGCCCACTGCTCTGGAACGCTTCCTTCTTCAAGGCTATTAGTTTCCAGAACAAAGGACTCAGTCTCTTTCTTCTATTATTTCCCAAATTAGGAGGAGCTCTGAACTGAAAACAGGATCCAAAGTTAGGTCTTCTATTTTTGTCTATGCCACAAACACTATGATATTTCAGGTGAATCTCAAAATACCTGCAAGTCCTCTGCCCTCCTTGTTGAAAATTGAGATTGTAACTCAGTTTTGTACAACTGGCAGTTCAGATGTTATAATTTATTCAATCATGGAGTAAAAAAATGGAAATAGAGCACATTAAGTTTAGGGGATTGCTATTTCAGGGGTAGAGTGAGTGTGAAAGCACATGACAAGAACACATGTGGATGTGGCCAGAGTCAGTAAGACACGTTAATGGAAAATTCCATCATATGTGGAAAAGAATTGTTCACTTACGGTTGGATTTCTTTTAGCAATTTAGGCAAAAAGTTTGTCTTTTTGGATTGTTTCTCTTTTTGGGAGGTTGTATTGTTGCAGAATTTTAATATGTGTTTTTATTGAACAACATGGGAAATAGGTAAGATGGAATATGTTCAGTAAGATTGAAAATCATGGGCAAACATTAACCAATGAAGCCATAGCATTCCAAATGTTTTAGGTAAAATTACCTTTGGCTGCATTTTTGTATAGTAAAATGCTATCACTGGATTGCAATTAAACTGTACGTCAAAATGAAAAGGGAGGAATCAGACAGGTGAAGAAAGGGCAGTAGGGTTTTCCTGGCAGAGAGGGCAGTTGAGTGCAAATGCCTAGTGGTGAGAGAAGGGAGGCAACTCTGGGGATGAGACATGACTCAGTACGACTCAAGTGTGGAGTGCACAAGGGGAGGAGAGCCCGGGACTGAGGCAGGGAGGAGTGGGCGGGGTCAGACCGAGGACAAGTTTGGCAACATGTCAATACTAGAGTTTCCATTTAATTCTGAGGGCCATATGGAATCATTGAAAGATTTATTTCAAGCAGAGGACTGGCATGGTCAAATATGCATTAAAGGAATATCCCTTGGTCAGCTCTGTGGAAAATGGCCCTTAATGGGGCAAGATGGGAGTCAGGGAGGATAGGAAGAGGCCAGAGTTTTCATGGAAAAGGTTCTTATTCCTAGTGCCCCTTGTTTAGGGTGGTCTAGGGGAGGAGAACTAGTGTTTCTGGGTCCTTAAGCTCTGCCAATGGTGGAGAGTTTTATCTATAGATAAGTCTACAACATTTTCAGATGAAGGCCATTTTGAATGGGCTTAGAATATGGCTTAATTGCACTCCCACTGGGTAAGTAAATGTCAAAATGAAAATATAAATTAGCTCACCATCTGTTTGAAATTTCTAATATTAAAAAATGGCCAATTTTCCCACTCTTTGCAGTGTAAGGGTGGTTTATTTTTATGTTTGTTTTCATTTTTATCCTTAGAGACAGCTGGATTGATTTCAATTCCAAAAAGAGTGGAAGAAACAAGAGAAGGCCTTGCTGGATAACTTGGTCATTCTGAAGGTGAGAATCCCATTTTTATGGCAATCAGCTGTATTTGGCATGATCTGGAAGGAACATGCCAGAAAAACAAGTCCTCAGTGAAGAATAAGCTCAGATGATGGTCTTAGTTCACGCTTTATACCTAGGGAGGTCTGAACCAGTCATGGAATGATCAGATGAACCAATTCCACCAACCCAAAGGACATCCAGCCCAGCACAGTGGGTGGCTAGCCAACCCGGTGGGGAGCTGAGGTGAAAGGAAACTGTGGAAAAGGCGTGGAAACCAGAAAGATGGGTAGGAGTTAGCAAACAATGTGCCTGAAATTCCATTTAAGGCTTCTATTCAACTCATCTGATCAGCCCAAACACGGTAGGAAAAAAGTGGAAATGGCCCTTTGGTAAGACAGGGAAGGGAACCTGATTAAATTTCCAGGAACACAGTAAGACCCATGTCAGGCAGATTGCTCTCAAAGTTGTCTCTATGCTTGCAAATGTAATGGACATGTGAAATAACTATGGCAGATGTATCCAAACAGAAGGAGCATCAGAGGCGATATTCCCATGGGCTGACAAACTTCCAGAGCAGATTTTCAGAATGGGGAGAAAGAGCCTATGAAGCCCATGAAGTGCAGAATTTACTCCTCTGTGTCAATAATGTAACCTTAATTGATATTTAATTAGTATTAACTAAACACAACCAAAACAATTTCTCCATACTTTTTTCTCATTCGGTCAGCTTTTTGGCATCCATATGCTCTGAATCAGGGTGGACTGCCTCCAACATGCAAAAGACAGGCTTGCCTGGATGTCTCTCCATGGCTGGACACTCTTAGTCTGCACTCCTCCCACCACCGTTTTGCCCCTTGCCCCAAGGCTCAGGTTCTCTGTCAGTTTATCCTTCGGCCCTGCAAACCTGCAGCCTGTGCACCGTAAAAGCTCCCTGACCGCCCCCTGCTCCTCTGGAGTCAGAAATTAGAGAACCTCCATTTAGCCCTTTACTCATTGAAAGAGATTCAAATGTTCTAATTTTGGTTGGTTCCAAGGTTGAGAACCACTCATTTGCTAACTTACTAACTAGTACTTCAGATTCTCATAAATAGAATTACCAGAAAAACATGACCATCTTCTCTATATCAATTAAAATGCAAATACAATAAATGTATAATGTAAAACTAAACAAATCCCTTTTGCCAAAAAGCTATGTGTTTGAAAATACCATGTATTCCTAAAATTTAATCTTAGGGATTATATAAATCCATCCTTGCCAGATTTATTAGTAAACTTTCCTAAAGAAATGGGTTTTCTTTCTTTTAAAAAAATAGATTTTACATTTGAAAAAAACTAGTTTTAAAGTCACCCATAATCCCCCAATTTTTTAAAAGTACATAAGTGAAACCCATGCCCATCTCTTCTACCCAACAGTGGTAACTACTGTAAACTGAAAATATCCTTGATTAGTTTCTGGATAATTTCCTGGCTTCCATTTTCTCTTTCTCACCTTCTGGAACCCCTATTAGTAGAATATTAGATATCGTGACTTGATTCTCTAATTTTCATTCTTTCTCTCCATCTCTTTGTTTTTTTCTTCTGCTTTCTGGGAGATTTATTCATTTTTATCATCTGACCCAAATATTGAAATTTTTACTTAAGTGTTTTATTTTAATATTCATTCTTATTCTTTATTCATATCTGTGGATGCAATATCTTTATTCTTCTCTCTGAGGATATTAATTCCATTCTATTTTGAATACTACTTTTGCTCCCTACATTGTTTTGTATCTTTTTCTTCTGAGTTCTTTTTTGCTTATTTGTTTGATCCTAGTTTCTGTCTTTCATATTAGAGGCGTTTCTAAAATTTTTGTTTGATGACCTTTGCTGTGTAAAAATGAGTCTCCAAAATGCTACTAGAAATTTCCTGTGCTTAGTTAACGTTAAGAGCTTACCGACTGGTATACTTCTCAGTGGCTGGACTGCACATGGATACTGCCGGTTCATTGGGAGGCCCTAACTGTCAGTATCCTTAGGTCTTTTCTTTTGAGCCAGCTCATTTCTCCAGAGAGGGCTTTTCCAAATTCCTGGCTATTGATACATAAGCCTGGTGGTCTATGTCCTGGGAAGTAACTGGGTGAGGTGCAGTGGGAGGTCTCACTCTTTAATATACAGACTTTCCCTCTAGCCTCTCATCCTCTGTCGTGCATCCTTAGATCCAAAGCCTCTCCCATCCAGTTTTCCTAGAGTGTAAAGCTTTGGAATCCTGCCAGGATGGTGAGTGGGGGCTGCTTGGGGGTTAGGGAGAGCATCTGAGGATCTCTCTGCTCCTTTTGCAACCATTCAAACAGCCTGTTTTCAGATTCCCTCTTCTCTCCCTAATTTAGAGATACCCAGTTCCTGAGCTTTTCCCATGCTGTGTCATGTAACTGGGTCTGCTTCTTTTAGGACCCCACCCTACGCCCTGGCCCCGCTCAGGCATCCTGAGCCTACTGAGCTCTCACCCATACTGTGCTTCCTGTTTTCCAAAATTTGGTCAGCATCCTTTTCATCTAGTGTCAGTGCCTCCCTCCCCTGTTCTCTTTTCCTTATGGGTTTATTCACTTTTTATTAATTTACTGTCATTTAGTACTATTTTGGGATGAAGCAGAGATAAACATATTTATTCAATTCTTCACGTTTAACCAAGAGCATTCCTTTCTATTGCTGAGTATCTTCCATCTCCGTGAGACGGTTATAGGAACTGGTAGAATTTAAAACTTCTGTCCTTTTTCTTTCCTTATCTGTAGTTTTAAGACAACAGAGATATTGAACTGCATACAGGTTTTCCTTTGCTAGTTATATGTAAACTGTTTTAGTTGTTGTTGTTTTATTTTTTTGTTTTCTTCTAATTTACCACATTCTTCCTCTGGATCCCAAGACCCCTCACAGTGGGGCCGCACGGGAAGCAACGGGCAGGAGGCAGCATGTGATCTGTTTTAACCTGGTTTTAAATGATAATGTCTTGTTCTCTAACATACCATGTTTCTCTTCTGACTTCCTTCTTTTTAGAAGAGTATTCCATTTTGTGTGTGTGTGTGTGTGCCTTCTCCCTGTGAAGAATTTTCGGGGGCCCCCTTTTCACATTTACAGTTCCCACTCGGTTTTTCTTTCTGTTTTCTCTGCTTGTTGACCTGCACCTTTTGTTCCTTCACCTCCTTGGCCCTGTTGTTCCTGTGGCTGCTGTCCAGCCGCCCCTGCCCCATGCAGGAGGGCCTGTTTTGCCCTTCAGAGGCTCTGGCTTTCCTCCTCTACTTGAGAACTTTCTTCATACAATCAAAAACAAAGTCCACCCTTTCTCTGGCCTCTTGAAAGAGAACAGGGCTTTCCTGCCCTTAATTAGATTCCTTCTTAGACCATTAATTTATCTTCATTGTAATGGGAATTATTTCTCCACTTAAACGCGGCTTTATTTTCCCAGAACCTGAGAAATTTCAAGCGTCTGGAATGCATGCTCAAAATAGTAGTGTTTTTCACTCTACATGCTATAATCTCTACACTTTCTGGTTCATAGCTCCTATCAATTTTATTGACTCATTTTCTCTTTTTATAAGAATATCCTGGACTTTGGCATGCTTAACCAGAGAAGCAGCCTTAATTATTTACTCTTACAGTTCAGTTGTAATTATTTAACTTCTAGTGGAAAATCTAGTGTCTAGTCTACCCTCTCCTTCTCCCACCTAGCTGAAGGAAGTATGCCCCCAGGCATGCCCTTAGGTAACTTTACTTCAGGGAGACCCCCTTTTACTCCCCAGTAATGATTCATGATCATTTATGTACCAACCCAGAGTCTTGCGTCTTTCAAAAGTCCACATTTTTAAAAAAATGGAACTTTATCTCTAAGTAGCTTCCTTTTGTAACAATGAGCAGGAAGAGCTCCAAATGTTGCTCCTTTTGTCTGAAAAAGATACACACTCTTCATTTTTAATCTAGTTTTTCTTGCCAAAATGACCTCCAGAGGTCCTGAGATTAGCAGCCTCTAAAATGGCCCCCCGTTATGCCTCCACTCCTGCTATTCATTCCCTTGTACAATTCCTTCACTTTGAATGTGGGCTGGACTTAATGGCTCATTTATAATGAATAGAACACAGCAGAGCACTGGGACGTCACTTCTGAGATTAGGTTATGGAAAGACTCTGGCTTCTCTCTCCATCACCCTTTCTTGTCTCGCTCAGTCTCCTTCATTTGCTTTGAGGGAAGCCAGCCACCACGTGGTTGGCCATGCTGTGGAGAAGTCCCTGTTGCAGAGAACTGACGGAGACCTCTGCCCAATAGCCAGCAAGGTGCTGAGCCTGTCAGCCCAACGGTCTGAGGAAATAAATCCTGCTAACAACCACAGAGTGAGCCCGGCAGCCAATCCTCCTCCAGCTGAGCCTTAGATGAAAGTAGTGCAAACCCTTAAAACCCTGACACCAACTTCCTGAGAGGTCTAGAGCCAGAGGCACCCAGCTAAGCCACACTCAGATCCCTGATCCACAGAAACTATGAGGTAATAAATGTTTGTTGAGGGTAACTTACTGCATGACAATCAGTAACTAATACAGCCTCTTCAGGCCTAGGCCTTTTTTTTTTTTTTTAGCATTCAGTCTTTGCTTTTTATAAGAAAAACTTCTGTTCAAGTCATTCTTTCTTCTGGATGTCAATTTAATTATTCACGTAAGATTTTCATTAAATTTCTCTTTGAGAGCAGGAATGGCAGTTGTCAGTCTTGTTCATAATTGCCTATCTAGTACACAATGCCTGGTACCTGAACAGATGCTCTGTGTATATTTACTGGATTTGGCCCTTCTGTCTATTTCTACTTGTCCTAGTTGATAAGTGACTCCTCACTTTCCACAATGCCATTTTGGGAATGTAAGAGTTTTGGGATGTAAGAGTTAGAAAACTTGCTGGTCCAGGTGCCTTGGCCTTTCTTTCCTTTAACCTGCTGTCCCTCCTCTAGAACGTCAACACCGCTGTCTTATTTGAAGCAAATGTGCTTCACCCGTCCTCCTCAGGGCTTCTCCAACTAAGCCGAGCTCACGTATGCTGTCCCTGGCCACTACTGCCTGGGCTGATCAAAGAGGCTGTGCTGCTCTGGTGCAGCACAAGACACTCAGTCATCTGAGCCCCTAACCGTCTGGAGGAGTAAGTGGTGTATTTGCTCTTATTTTAAAAGCAAAATAAACGAGGCCTAGAGATGTTGAGTGCTAAGCCTGAGGATCACTTTGAGATTTATAAGCAGAATCACTAGAACTCAAGTTTCCTGAAAGAGGAAACATCATATCCATGGAAACTCAAATTTGAATCTTGGCTCCGCCATGGTGTGTGAACTTAGGGAAGTTATTCAGCCTTTCTGACTCAGTTCCTCATCTGTAATGTGGAAATAATTTCTATGTTATAGGATTGTTTTAGGCCTTTTTCTTAATCTGTATTCTGTCCATTCCGTACTTTAACTTATAACTTCTCTGCTATAATTAGGTTCACTTCATAATTATAATGATAGCATAAGCTTTTTACAGGCGCACCTCATTTTATTGCTCTTCACTTTATTGTGCTTTGTACCTATTGCATTTTTTACAAATCGAATGCTTGTGGCAACCCTGCATTGAACAAGTCTATCAGCACCATTTTTCCAACAGCATTTGCTCACTTCATGTGTCTGTGCCACATTTGAAATAATTCTCTCAATATTTCAAACTTTTTCATTATGATTATATTTGTTAAGGTGATCTGTGATCAGTGACTATAACTCACTGAAGGCTCAGATGATGGTTAGCATTTTTTAGCAATAGAGTATTTTTAAACTAAGATATATACATTGTTATTTAGATATACTGTACATGTAAAAGACTACAGTAGAGTGTGAACATAACTTTTATTATATACACTGGAAAAATTCATTCGATTTCCAAAAAAAAGTCATTTGACTTGAGATATATGCTTTATTGCAGTGGTCTGGAACCCAGCCTGTAATATCTCTAAGGTGTGCCTGTATGTTGGCTGATGATTTAAATATAGCAACACCATGGCACATTTCTTACACTCAGTATAATTACTAGCACTTTCCTGTTATTTCTTTATTAAGATGCCAATAAAACCAATAAAAATATTACTTGTCATTAACATTCAGAATCTTCCTCCATTTGCCTTTATTTGCTATATTGTCATAAATGGGATCAAATATTCTAATGTGACATTACTTTGGTGATTAGAGGACAGATTAATGGTTTCACTGGCTTAGTCTGTTCAGGCTGCTATAACAAAGTACCACAAACTGGTGGCTCGAGCAGCAAACAAAATTTATTTCTCACAGCTCTGGAGGCGGGAAGTCTGAGATGCGGGTGCCTGAAGATTTGGTGTCTGGTGAGGCTTGCGTTTTGGTTCACAAATGGCCATCCTCTCTGTGTTCTCATAATGGCAGAAGGGACCAGGGAGTTCTCTGGGTTCTTTTTCATAAGGTCATGAATCCCATGAGGGCTCCACCTTCATGACCTAAACACCTCCCACAGTGCCCACCTCCAAATATTACACTGAGGATTAGGTTTCAGCATAATCATTTGCATTCAGTCAAATTCTAAACAGCATCCACCATTTCTAAACTCCTTAACAGTTCAGAAATAAGACTTGATTAGAAAAAAATTTTCAAATCAAAATAAGTCTACTCCAATTTAAATAAAAACATTGCTGAAATAATCATGCATACCTAAGATAATCATGCATACCTAAGACAGATAACAGATAGGACCTGAATACGTGAAGATTCTTAGTCTTAGGGTTTTAAATGGTATTTGCAACACAGTAGACCTGGGTGTAGAGGAAACCTTTGAGATGATGTAGTTCAGTGCACTCATTTCACAGAAAAGGAAGCCAGGAGCAGAGAGGCTGAGTGACTGCCTGGTTACCTGGATCTGCTGCCAGGTCCCTGACTAACAGTCCAGGACTCTCTGCCTGGCACCAAACTGCCTTTCATGTTTTTCTTTGTTTATTTTGTTTTTGAAGGCCCAGGTGCTCATTCACAATTTGCAATGGTACCATCATTGCTTCCTACCTCTTCCTGGGACTGGTTAAGTTTCTGCAGAAGTTCTGCCTGTGCCAGCATTGCTCTTCCCAGCTCATCTGACTTCTGTTGCAATTCCTTCCTCAAGTCCTCTGAAATGGAATCATTACTGTCAACTTCCTTCTTCAAGTGAGATTCAAATTCTGCAACCAAATTTTTAAGGCTTTCAATTTCTTTCTTTTTTGACTCGGAATCTTCAGTGTGTTGGATATGGGACTCATGGAGTTTTTCTTCAAGAGTGGCCACTTCCAGCCTTAGATCTCTAGTAGCGCCTGCGATTAAGTCAGATATCTGTAAGATAAATCTCATGTTAATTTGCAGACAGTATTTCTAGGTAACCATTGAATTCTTATGGTTTTAAGAGGCTAATTCTAAATAATCAGCATGTTCTTCTGCTCAGATGAAAACAAAACCTATGACATATGTAGGCCTCCAAGATTTTCTTTTTTAAAGTTAAGACTAAAACTTATATTTTCACCACCTTAAATGGAATCATATTAGTTATTTGGGCATCCTTGGAAATATACAAATCTCTTTTACTAGATTGAGCCATCAAAGACAGCTCAAGTCATCATCAGGAGCCTGGTTGGATTCACTATAGGGTGACTTTGGAACCTAACAACACCTGATATTTGGGGATCCATATATGGAAACACCACAATTATATTTTACTACTACCTTACTGGTAAGTTTTCCTTTGACAGACTTTTTAAAAATTTCTTGTATATGATGACTAGAGGTACCACAGGTACTACACATTTTACAGCAACACTGTCCAATAGAACTTTTTATGATGACAGAAATATTTCTGTGATGTCCGACATGGTAGCTGCTAGCCACATGTGGCTATTGACAGTGGTATGCTAATAAATGTTTAACAACTGGCTCACACACACAAAAATGCAGATATGTATCTAATTTCCATGGTATAAATACTCTCACCATAGTCAATTCTAAGCTACCAAGGTAACATCACCAGTTACTGAGCTGGGAAGAGATACGCCAATAGTTTGCTAGTACTGGCTCATGAGCATTTGGAATGTAGCTGATGTGACTGAGGAACTGAATTTTAAATTTATTTAATTTTAATTAACTGAAATTTAAGTAGCCATGTATGCTATCATATTAGACAATGCAGTTCTAGGGAATAACCAGAATACTTTGAAAATACACTGCTTCTCAAGGTAGTACCTCTAGAGGTTCTACCTCTAGAAAGATGTAGAAATCTTTCAAAGGGAAAATATTGCTTGTTGGAGTATAACAACGAAGCAAAACTGAAGGAACAAAATGGCAGGAGACTCACAAACTCCAAGAAGGGACTTGCAGTTACCAAAGGAGAGGGGTGGGAGAGGGCGGGTGGGAGGGAGGGAGATGGGGATTGAGGGGTATCATGATTAGTGCACATGATTAGTGTGGGGTCACAAGGAAGACAGTATAGCACAGAGAAGACAAGTAGTGACTCTGTGACATCTTACACTGATGGACAGTGACTGCAATGGGGTATGGGAGGGACTCTATAATAAGGGTGAATATAATAGCCACATTGTTTTTCTTGTGAAACCTTCATAAGAGAATATTTCAATGATATCTTAAATTAAAAAAAATATTGCTTGTTTTCTTCCACCTTAAAACACAAAACCAAGAATAGAAAACAAACCAGAAAGAACAAAGTTGCTTCTGATGAAACATCATTATTTATGCTATGAGTACTGTCATATTATATGTATTAGGACAACAAGGAAACCAGCTCATAAAGATTCTGGAAAACATTCATAGACCAAAATTCCAAGGATTTTTTTAACTATTACTTAAGAGTTATGTATCCCAAATTTGATTCAGATGTTAAATTTACATCAAGAATAACTTTTGTAAGAAATCTATTGACCACACTTGTAATTTATAAATTAAATTAATATTGTATTACTTTCAGTTAATCCTGGACGGAAGAGATCTGAGCAGCAGTTTCCCGCATCTGGAGGAGAGCTGTCACTGATAAAGGGCAGGGTACCCTTGGGAAAGGAGGCTTCCATAGATATCTACAAATATATTTTTATCTTTTTAAAAAGGGAGTCAACATTTAAAAATCAAGAGAATTCACCAATAAATTCTGGAATTATTTCTGCTTTTGAAAAACTGTAACCCCTGGCAAGCTGGAGCCTGGCTTTTGGCATTCCCCTGCTGAGGGGACCTTGAGGCACCCAGGACGGCAGTAGCAGTCACAGAGTGAGGCAGGAGGAGAGCAGGGGCCAAGGCGGCGGGGAGGGGGGCTGGCGCGAGGGGGCCAGAGGCCTGCCTAGGTCAGAGGGGTCCCAGCTCCCAGCATGTGCTCCCCAACAGGACTTCACTTGCGAAACACAAATTCAAAGACAAAGTTATTAAGAACTTCAAGACAGTGTTTACAGATCATTAGAACCAAAGCATGAGACCTTTATGAGTGTGGGACCCTGTGACGCTGCACCTGTCATACACTCAGACAGCTGGCCCTGCCTGTTGTTCACAGTGAACTGGGAAAAGGCTGTCCGGTGTCTCCTGTGCACCAAAGTGAGGCCACTGAGTCTCATTTGGTGCTTAATTTATCCAGACTGCTAATGAGTTTTTTCAGAATATGGTTTCCCTGTTGGGTCTTGGTTAATATACACACACATATACATACACACATGCCAACATAGGGCATATACCCTACACTCAGGACTTATAAAATCAGGGGAACCTTAGCAAAACCTTAAATTATGTTGAGGACACACTGTTTCAGAAATTGTACAGGTGGGTTACATTTTAGAAATACTTCCCTTCATTCAAAAATATTTAGAATTGAAAATATTTGCAAATAAAGGAGATAGCCTTTAGTTGGGAAATTTTAATTATGTAATACATTTCATTATCTTTAATGTTGGATATTGGAGGTGTTGGAATATCTAACCATGATAATTACTAGTTATAAAATTTATGCTGTTTTAAAAATAAGTTTATTTTAGTAAAAATAAATTTCACACATAGCTGGTGTGTATAATTTATCTGTTGTGCATTCTGGAGACTCTCCTAACCATCCTTCCTATGTGACTAAAACCAAGGAGAGCTGCCAGAGTTAGAAATACTTTAGTGTTCTTGGGAGGGAATAACCAACATCTGTAACTTCAAATCCATTAGATAATAATGTATACCATAACGACAGACCTTCATTTGTAGTTCCTCTTGTTCTTTCTTGTGCTTCTGGATTATTTCTTGGTGTTTTTCTTTTTCAATATCAAGTTCCAGTTTAGCTTCTTCCTTAAAGAGAAGAGCTTGCTCCTCAAATTCAACTAAATGTCGGGCTCTTTCCCTGGCAAGTTCAGCTTCAGTCTAGAAAATAGCGTTTAACACATGTATTAAGCTGTTTTATCTTAAAATAAGTAAATTAAGCTTATTTGCAGACTCTAAAAAAATTAATTCTAATATTAATTCAAAAGTCTAATTTTAAAATTCTAATATTAAAAAAAATCTGACTCAAACCTTAAGTCAGAAAAATCGACTTTGGGCCAAATATTTTAAGATCTTCTGAGACCTTCTAAGACCTAAGAAATGAGTAGACCCTTCAGAAACACTGGAGGCTTAGCCTTCTGTTCTCTTACACTATAAACTCAGTGCCTGCCACTGACCTTATAGGGAAAAAATAGATTTTGAGACCCTTGTACTATGTTATGTTGAGAGCTCAGAGGGGATACAAAGTACACATGCTGATTTTTTAAAATTATCTTTTCTTCATGCAGACCATAGAATGTTTTGGAGGCACAGATTATCATTTAATGTGACTGAAGCCAGAAGGCTGATTAAGGAAAGAGGTCAGTGTTGCCTGTATTCATATTTTGACTCAGAATCACAGCGCTGGAAGGGACCTTAGAAATCCCCTAGTCCAGTTACTCAAGCTTGAATTGTGAAAAGAATAAAACCAGGACTTTCGATTCAGATAGAGTCGAGTTTAAATCCTGGCTCTGCCACTTTATAGTTGTGTGATCTTAAATTGTGAGTGCAGCCTCCCCGGCGGGGTTTTAACTAGTCCCCTTGGGATTCAATAGTCAGTGGAGACTAGATCCATGCTCTGACCCCTTGGTCTCTCCCATGGCATCCGCGCCAAGTGATCGTCGGCTCTGTGCCGCAGTACCACCAGGAGTGAGTTAACTCCTTCCTCAGCAGGCGTTTCCATTTTCAGACCAGTGGCTCTTAGCTGCTGGTTTTGGCTCTGCCTACTGGAGCAAGAGAGGGAGCTCATGCATGAGCACTGGGGTCACTCAGGCCTTGGGGGTTTATCTAGTGAGACTAGACAAGGGATCCCAGGGACAGGCTGACTCTAGATTTACATTGTGCCATGATCATAAATTCTAACAGGGAGTAAATGCTGGATAACTTGGAACAAAAACTGTCAGACCTGACTTACTGTGACTGTGATTTAGGCTACTATAAAAGGAGAAGGAGAGAGGTCAACCTGAATTTCTCAAGGGAACAATCAAACGAGTGCATCAGGAAATAGAAAGTATGCTAAGAAAGTTTTCAGGAAGACCTTTAAATGAAAAAAAAAGTAGATCAAAGGCTAGCCCCAGTGGGGTTAGGCGGATTTACTGCGCTGGAGAAAGGATTAAGCATTTGTCCCAAAGCAAAACAATGATCCCCTCCCCACCTGTTCCTCCCTCGACCCTCCCCATCTCAGGACACAGTACCACTATCCACTTAGTTATTCAAGTCAGTAACTGGGGCATCATCTTTCATGCCTCCCTCGCCTATACTCTCCTATCTAATCTAACATCAAGTCCTGTTCATTTTGCCCCCAAAATATGCCTTGAATCTACCCATTTCTCTTTATGTCCACTTCCACTACCCTAGTTCTGGCTACTGTCACCTCCTGACTGGCTTACTTCATTCCTTGCCTCCTCTCTCTAGTCCACAATACACACAGCAGAGTGTTCTTCATACACACAAAAAGCGGGCGGTGGTGGGGGGGATCTTTATTCTCTCTTAGTGCTTTCTCAATGCATTAGCATAAAATAAAAACTCCTATACATGATCTTCTACTCAGATGAACATAGCCTCAGGACTTGGTGATCAGAGCATAGGCTGGAGTCCAGCCCCCTCTCTCCCTGAGCCTGGGCTGTTGGGCAGGCACAACCCGAATACCGGCCCTGGTAGCCCTGGACTTCTCCAAGGTGACTTTCACTTTCTCTGTTTGATCGCTGTGCTCCAGCCACATTGGAATAGGTAAGTAAAAAACACATGAAAAGAAGAAATCAAATGCAAAACATTTGGAAAAATTGCAAGCTATAACTTTAAGAGTTCATAGGTCACAAGATTCCTTGACATTATTTTTAAAAAAACAACTAAATAAACGTTTTTTGAGACACTCAAGAAAAATGTGTGCTGAGGTACTAAAATATCAAGTGTTCAAAACAATTTCTTGTTTGTTTAATTGGTAGAGCCAAATATTATGTTACGACAGAAAAACATCTCTCAAAATATGAACCGATTGCTCAAATTAAGAGAACAAGAATGTACACAAACTAGGTGGGACAGGACAAACTGTAAATTAGATGACAGAAAAACTTTAGAAGGACTTTTTTAAAAGCCCTTTAAATTTATTATGGGGAAGAAGCCATTTAGGAAATCAGTAGAGTCCCTTGGTGAAGATAAAACAAAGAAAGCATTCAGGGAAGAAAAGGGGGTGGCTGGCTGCTTGAATGAGTAGAATGTTCTGTTCTATTTGAGTCAGGAAGCAAAGACATCTTGCCCCTTAATTATTCCTTGGAATGAACTATTATAGGTGAAGAGGGAAAAAAAGGAAGGACTAAATGGAAGATGGAAAACAAAAGTCACTGTAGATAGAAGGGAAAAGGGTGATTTACTGTTACTGATTTGATTTTTAATTTGCAAAATCTGAAAAAGAGAGGCACTGTGATGAGCTTCAGGTGGGATTTTTAAACACTTAAGGAAGCTGTGCTGGGATGCCAAGAGTCATCTGAATGTGCTGACGCTGTAGCACAGAGAGATGAAACTACTGGTTCCTTGATGATTTGAATAGTTTGAACAAAATGATGAGCCCACAAGCAGAATGATTCGCTTAAGCTAGCATATTATTTGTCATTGAGAAGATGAATTCATGCCAAATCATCATGTTTGTTTTTTATATATTGATAGAAGCTGTTTATCTAAAATATCTTGGATGGCAGAACTTATGTTTATGCAAAATAAATGAATTTGGTAACAGTACATATGTAAAATATGAACTGCTTTATATAATAACTAATAATAATTTTAATAATCACGGGGAAATTCAGATTTACAAAAAAAAAAGCATGAGTTAACACAAAGTAAAATAAATGATCTGTGTACACATTCCAGGATTTAATTTTTTTATGCTTCTTATTTACCCATATCCTCCTTTAGCTCAAACTTTATCTTCTTCATGAGGGCCTCCTGATGATTCCAGAGAATTGAGTATGCTGTTTTTTAAATTCTTTTTGAATTTGTTAATGAAATGCATAATTAGTATTTTATATACCCCTGTATCTAATGCTGATGTGCAAAATATTGTCTTTTCCGACATAAATTTACAAGTGAGATCTTTGTGGTTGATTTTGATATCATTTTCTAACTGTCCATGGAGCCAAACATCATGTTATAATCATTTATTACTTGATGATCCCTTTAAAATCAAGGGAATTCAGATGCCAAAGTGGAAATCAGATCATTTGTTTATATTTGAGGTACATATATCATTTTAAAAAATGTATCTCCTAAAAAATAATTTTACTGCTTTCCAAAAGTTAAAAACAAATTGAAAACTCTACTTCAGATTATTTGAACTGAAATTATACTTCAAATGAAAAGTACACAAGATTATTTCTGAACTGAATAAATATATTGTAAAAATAGATGATTATTCAAATACACAGACTTTGTAGTTATAAAAAAAACCAAACTCAATGCTAAGGAATCAAAATATGTATTGAAGTCCTGCCAGGAACTTTATAAACTTATGATGGAATGGGAGAATATTCACTGAGTACCTATACCTAATACAAGCTAGGGTGATAGATACAGTATAGGACACCTTCCATTTGTTCATTTAACAAAAATTTTGGGAAGGAAATATTATTATTCCCACTCTCTAGGCTCAGAAAAGTTAAGTACCTTCGCCAAGGTCATAAAGCTACTACCGACTGAAGAGGATGTGCACAGTCGGATGTTTCTGGTGGACTCCTTAGCTCAGTGTGTTTAATTTTTTCCTTAAGCCTGTTTTCCCACACATCTATATAGCATACTGGTAAGGACAGAGAATTGGTATGTATTTAGTTTCAAAATATTGGGGTATTTTTCCAGATAACATTCTGTTAATGAATCCTAATTTAATTCCACAGTGGCAAGAGAAAATACTTTGTATGACTTGAATCCTTTTAAATTTATTGAGACTTATATATGCCCCAGAATATGACCTATTTTAGTAAATATCTCATGTGCACTTGAGAAGAATGCACATTCTGCTGTTAAGTGGAGAATTCTATAAATATCAGTTAGGTCATTTGTTAATAGTGTTGTTCCATATATCTCTTAAAAATAAATTTTTATACTATTTTTCCATACTACATACATATCCTTACTGATTTTCTGGATATTTTTCTATCAATTATTAAAAGACGGCTATTGAGATCTCTGACTTTAATTATGGATTTTTAAATTTCTCTTTGCAGTCCTATCAGTTTTTGCTTAAATTTTAAGCTTTGTTATTAAGTGAATAAACATTCAGGATTATTATGTCCTCTTGGAGAGCTGATCCCTTTGCCATTATGAAATGACCTTCTTCATCCCTGGCAATATTCTAAATACTCCAATTTGTTCGCTCTGAAATCTATTTTGTCTGTTAGTGATATAATTACTCTAGCTTTCTTTTGATTTGTGTTAACATATCTTTTTCCATCACTTGCTTTTAAACCATTTGTTAAAATATTTCTTTTTATTAAAGTACATTTCTTGTAGGCACTCTAGTAGACTCTTGCATTTTTACCCAACATGACATTCTCTGCCTTTTAATGTGGATATTTAGACCAGGGCTTGGTAAACTATGACCCACAGACTAAATTCAGCTATGCCCATTCATTTGCATATTTTTATGGCTGCTTTTAAGCTACAGTAGCAGAATTTAGTAGTTGCAACAGAGATTGTATGTCCCACAATATTACTAACTGGTCCTTTATAGGAAAAGATTGCTGACCTCTGGTTTAGACCATTTACATTTGATTATTGATAAGATTAGCTTTAAATCTATCTTGCTATGTGTTTTCTATCTGGCCTATTTCATCTTTTTTTCCTTCTTTTTG